GTGCCCTGCGCTCTGTGCCCTGCGCTCCGTGCCCTGCGCTCTGTGCCCTGTGCTCCGTGCCCTGTGCTCTGTGCCCTGCGCTCCGTGCCCTGGGCTCTGTGCCCTGCGCTCCATGACGGTGCCCTGCGCTCCGTGCCCTGGGCTCCGTGCCCTGTGCTCCGTGCCCTGGGCTCTGTGCCCTGCTCTCCATGACGGTGCCCTGGGCTCTGTGCCCTGCGCTCCGTGCCCTGGGCTCCGTGCCCTGCGCTCCGTGCCCTGCGCTCCGTGCCCTGCGCTCCGTGCCCTGGGCTCTGTGCCCTGCGCTCCGTGACGGTGCCCTGCGCTCCGTGCCCTGTGCCCCGTGACGGTGCCTTGTGCTCCGTGCCCTGCGCTCCGTGACGGTGCCCTGCGCTCCGTGCCCTGCGCTCCGTGACGGTGCCCTGCGCCCCGTGACGGTGCCCTGCGCTCTGTGACGGTGCCCTGCGCTCCGTGACGGTGCCCTGCGCTCCGTGCCCTGTGCCCCGTGCCCTGCACTCCGTGCCCTGCGCCCCGTGACGGTGCCCTGCGCCCCGTGACGGTGCCCTGCACTCCGTGACGATGCCCTGCGCTCCGTGCCCTGCGCCCCGTGACGGTGCCCTGCGCTCCGTGCCCTGTGCCCCGTGATGGTGCCCTGTGCCCCGTGCCCTGTGCTCCGTGCCCTGCGCTCCGTGCCCTGTGCCCCGTGACGGTGCCCTGTGCCCCGTGCCCTGTGCTCCGTGCCCTGCGCTCCGTGACGGTGCCCTGTGCCCCGTGCCCTGTGCCCCGTGCCCTGCGCTCCATGCCCTGCGCTCCGTGACGGTGCCCTGTGCCCCGTGCCCTGCGCTCCGTGCCCTGCGCTCCGTGACGGTGCCCTGCGCTCCGTGCCCTGCGCTCCGTGCCCTGCGCCCCGTGACGGTGCCCTGCGCTCCATGCCCTGCGCTCCATGATGGTGCCCTGCGCTCCGTGCCCTGCGCCCTGTGACGGTGCCCTGCGCTCCGTGCCCTGCACTCCGTGACGGTGCCCTGCGCCCCGTGATGGTGCCCTGCGCTCCGTGCCCTGCACTTCGTGACGGTGCCCTGCGCCCCGTGACGGTGCTCTTGCTGCCTCTCTTTCAGGTTCCAGGGGGCACCAGTTGTGCCTGTGGCCGCCAAGCCCGGGGGACCAGAGGCCCCTGACACTGAAGCTCCACAGGGCATCCCAGAGCTCATCGAGGTACTGTCCACTCAGGCTCTGCCCAGGGGAGGGCGGAGGGGACAGTGCTGGCCTTGCAGGGCTGGTGATGGCGAGCGGGTTCTCGGGGCTGGTGATGGCGAGCGGGGGTCTCAGGGCTGGTGATGGCGAGCGGGTTCTCGGGGCTGGTGATGGCGAGCGGGGGTCTCAGGGCTGGTGATGGTGAGGGGGTCTCGGGGCTGGTGATGGTGAGGGGGTCTCGGGGCTGGTGATGGCGAGTGGGGGTCTCAGGGCTGGTGATGGCGAGGGGGGGCTCGGTGATGGTGAGCGGGGGTCCTGGGTGTCACGTGCACAGATGACGCCCCACGTGCTCATGACTGTGACACTGACCCAGTGTCCCAGGCCCCACACTAAGGTGTTTATCCGCGAGGTCACGGGGAGGCTGAGAGGCCCGCCAGCCGGTGTGCGGGGTAGCGGGGGTCCCAGCCCATCCCCTGCACCCGGACCCAGCTGCCCCTCTGGGCTGGCAGCGCCTGGAGCTGGAGTTTTCTGGCCTTGCGCGTCAGCTCCAGAGGCCTAGAAGCTGCCACAGTTGTTTTTGTTTAAGTAAAATCCACAAAAATGTGGCTACAAGGTATGTTTGTATATTCCTCTTAAAAGCCTCTACATAAATCAGACCAAGCCTGTTTTGAACGTTAAAACGTGATCACAAGACCAAGTTTCGTAACATTCACTACCGAATAGTTTCCTGACAGCCTGTTCCTTGTGAAATCAGAAAACAATCAAGTCAAAGCAGCGCCGCGGCGTGCTGCGCCTTTGTGCATGTTTGCTTCTTGATCAGCTCTGACAGCACCCGAGCAGAGCTGACATGAGCAAACTGGGCTGTGGGCCTGCGGCCCCGCTCCGGCCGGCCGGCACAGACCGGCACGGGCTGGCGTGGGCCGGTGTGGGCTGGTGTGGGCTGGTGTGGGCGGACGTGGACTGCCCCCAGCTC